ACATGGTGACAAATATCATTTCCAAGTAGTGCAGGTTTGATTAGCTGTAACAACATAGCATTAGTAGCACAGCATTTCAAGAAATTCAACATAATATAGTGTCTGTAAAAGAAGTGTGCTTTCCGATTAGGTTAAAGGTCACTTTTGCCAACATTCTGTAAAGCTTGACTAACAAGTGTAGCATGGATAATTGTCTTAGTTGTCTATTGATTGATAGTCTTTAAAAACCTTCTGTAACACTGAATTTTAAGAGCCCACTGTAGATGATTTGTAGATGCTCACACTGTCTTCAACATTTTAAATATCTGTTAAACATTTTTAATATCTGTTAAATGCAACTTTAAGTCCAGCACAGTTTGATAATTCACTGATGAGTTAAATTAATTGTATTTGAGCAGGGAACTCACCATACTGTGTTGGACACCAGCTGTCTAAGAGTGGAACTCAAGAACCCTGCTGTTGATAATCAACAAGTTTCACCAGATACTTTGTTAATAATTTGAGTATATGTAGGTAATCTATAGAAGACTATCAAAATAAACATGCTAAACATTTAGGCAATATTTTAACCCAGGTAATCTCCTGGAGATTTAATTTAATTTAGTTCAAACCCGTATCTGTACTTTTAAAGAACTTAAATAGCTTGAGCAGGTGTGGCCGATTGGTTTGGCGCTTGATCCAGACTCTAGCAGATCTCCAGGACCAAGGTTGCTGACCACTGATGAAGAACAAGCAAGACTATTTAAATTCAGTATAGCACCTGTATTTAACCAATTTGCAAAATATAGAATGAATTAGATAGTCATTGCAGTAATAAATACTTTAAATGATGATCATATTTGCCTTTTTTATTTACATAGAATAAGGCCAGACCAGCTGAATTTCAACATTTGCATATACTACATTTACTGTTTTTGCACAAGCTTTGATTAATCAATAAATACTTGTGCTCATTTGGCTTCCCTGACTTCCCTATAACCTACTGATAAGGACACAGTTTTTACGTTTATTATTATTATTATTATTATTATTATTACTATTATTTTGTGTTTTGTTTTCTTGAGGTGCATGAGTGGACACAAAATGTACACGTAAATGTGTTACCCCCCCCCACACACACACAAAAAACCTTTCTAGTGTATTTTTTCAGATCATTTTCGTGAAACAATTTTCCACTAAATGTACATTAGTTAATTTTTCCTCAGATGTTACTTGTCAATTTCTGATTATAGTTTAACTTAAACTCCACATTTCAGAACCTGTTTTTATCTTATTAATGAGTGCTGCGTGAATGGTATGCAGACTTTAAGTAATAGAATGCAAACACTAATAATAATAAGAAGAATAATAATAACCATATAGTTTTATTTATAAGTGCCTTTCAAGATACTCAAGGACACTGTAGACAAAAGATTAAGATAAAGATAAAATTTAAGTGACAGAATGCAAACACTAATAATAATAATAATAATAATAATAATAATAATAACCATATAGTTTTATTTATAAGTGCCTTTCAAGATACTCAAGGACATTGTAAACAAAAGATTAAAATAAAGATAAAATTTAAGAAAAAAATGAAGTATAATGTAGTATAATGGGAGTTGGGTATTTGATAACATGGAAAGTATTTTTGGAATTTATTTTCAACCGCAGTGCAATGACAAGGGACTTCAGCTTGTCCTCAGAACGGACTAAATGCGTGCTAGTCTCTGGGGAGCGAGCCACTGTGCTGTGTTAATGACGGTGTGTAATTAGATAGTGTGTGCTTTCTGTACTGGCACAGAACTGGTGCCAAGCAGATAAGCGGAAGAGGGGCACAGTTCTGTATAATCATCCAGGGGGTTGTGTCCTCCTATCAGACTAACAGCTTGATACCTCTGACCCACAGATTAAATAAGCCTGAATTTAGGGCAGAGGGCATTTACTAGCCCTTGGTGTTTCCTCCTGACATGCATGTATGTGTATGCACTTGTACACACACTTAAAAATGCTTTCACTAACATTGTGCATATGCTTGCATGAGGAAAGATACTTAGTTGGTTCTTATGACTCCATCATTCTCTTCATATTTGTTCCAATGTTCCACCAAACACCAGATTTCACTAATTAAGAAGGTGTAGTAGTGAAATCAGGTTGGATTATGCAGGGTTAAAATTAATATCTAAAGGAATTTGCATATTTTTTGTGCCTGTCATTGAGCCTTTAAATTATTGTGAGCTTTCAGGAAATTCCCAGTAAACCATAATAGCTATTTATTTTATTTCGAATAAAAAAGAAAAATACTGTATTTGTGTTGTAGACAGTGGAAACTTTGGTTCCTATCATCAACACTGTAAAGAAATATGAGTCCATGAGTTTCTTTACAATAAATCATTTTACATCAGACCCCTCTCAATGATGGAATTGTGTAGAATTTGTTTTTTTTTTAAATCAAGACAGAATTTTTTATTGAGGTTATTTTGAACTCATGGTGTAGCATGAAATGAATAAATCACAAGTTTAACAGAAATGTAGGAATGTTACATAAAACCAAAGTTTTGTGAAAATAACTTTAAAAACTGACTGAACATTTCATAAAGATGCTCTGACATGCTCTGACATACAAGGTACACCCGCCACGAAATTGTAGACATTGCAACCCCCGGTTTCTATCACCACCACTGTAAAGAAAATTTGAGTTTTGAGTACATTTCTCTATTTTGTGCAATTTAACATCACACCACTCAGAATGACTTTGTTTACATCTTAATGATTAAATGATGCAAAAAAAAAGTGTTTATACCAAATCATACCCAGTTAACATTTCAAATCAGTTCAGTCATTTTTTACACATTTAAATGGAATATTTAAGATGGAGCAACGTTTAAAAATGAATAAGTAAAACAAAGTCATTTGAGCACAATTTTGAAATTGTGCATGGTTGCATTTATTAAATTGAAGTTTTTGCTTAAATTGTTTGCAAAACTGGATATTCATAAAATGTATATTATAAATGTATAAATATTACTTGCTAGGCCCTAGATGAGTTGGTGTGGAATAATCTGAAACTAGAGATTTTTTTAGTAAGTTCAATGTGTATCAATCTCGTATGCTTGTAATCTGCTTTACTCACAACTTGCTGACACAGTATCCCATTAAGATGTTCAGTTTTTATCACTGCCATTCTGAAATATGTCTGCCAAAGTTTAGCCTTCACAGCATGCGTGTGATGTACACTCATTTTGACATGTTTCACTTGTCATTATTTACTGTTTGAGAAGAGCCAGACCCAACAGCAGCCAGACCTTTTGAAATCAAAGCCTTGTTTGTCCCCTTTCCATTCATTAAGGAGTCACGTTTGTCCTGAGCCTGTGTGACAGAGAGGGTACCCAGGGAGGACGAGTGCTCTGAGGGGCCTTTTCTTCAATGCTGAAGCCCCTCATCAATATTCCCCTCACAGAGGTGAGATTCGGAGGCCACTGCTCTGACAGTCCAACGCAGCCCTGCAGAAATAAAACAAGAGCCATTCAGGCATTCAAGCAAGTCCTCCACCTTTAAGACCAATACACATGCACACACACATACACAGGTGAATAGACGTCCCCACCTTCACAAATGTCATTTCAATACCCACGTTTTCCAAAGTTCAACTTCTTGGACACTCGATGAAAGTGCTTAAAACTGCTATCGACCAACGCATTAAGATGTGCAAATGTTTGGGCACCCCATTCAAACTGCATGGTTTGTTTATTTTAATAATTGCAAATAAATTAACATGTCCTCTTCAGGGAACAAACTTAATTGTGGCATTATTCAGAAAATTTTAGAATTTAGACGTGAATTTAACATATTGGACAAATAAAACATAAAATGTCACGTGTTCAAACTTTTGCACATGATACATTTTTTGCTCTATATTTCTTTCCAACATATTTAATGAAGCAATTGTGTAATGATTGTGCGATACTACATTGTTTCTGTGTTCAAGTGTGTTCATTAACTTATGTTTGCTGAGAAAATCAACCAAATCTGTCATTTGACCAAAGGTACCCAAACTGTTGCACTGCTGACCTACACTTAAAATGTTTTAAGTAGCCTAGCAGCTAAGCTAAGCAATTTTTCATTCAGTAAATAAAAAGGTAACAGAACACAATACATATTACATTGTCCTGTTACCTTATATAATGTTTACTGACCTCAAAATGTAAAGCATTAAAATGTATTTATTTATTTTTAATGATGTAACTCTTTTGACCTGATTGTGCCTGGCTCGGTTTGGGCATTGGCAAATGTACAAAAAAGTTATTGTTTTTTGTTTGTTTTTGTTTTTTAACTGTACTACTTTTTTCTTCTCTTTGCCTTTGAATGCTACACGCTCATAGGCCTTCTGATTTCTGCTAATTCATGAGTCATAAAGCCTCTCGGGCTACAGCGCTCCTAGTCTAGTCTTCTGTTAGAGAGAGAGAGAGAGAGCTGCTATCTCACCTGCACTAACGACGGCTCGCGTAAGTGATGGAGGTAGACGAAGCTTGCGCCCTCATTGCGAGCCTTCTCCGCTGTTTCCATTGGGCGGCAGTGCGCGTATCCTTTAGCTCGGACTAAAGCGCTGCCCACCGGTACTCACTGAGGAGGAGGAGGAAGAGGAGGAGGAAGAGGATGGAGTCGGCGTCTCAACACCTTCAACTTTCATCAGCCGCAACCGCCGCACGGGACGCGACCCCCGGCCACACGACGGCGTATCAACCTTGATTTTTCTCGCCATCCTACCGTCTTTCACGCCCGCGATGGATGCTGGCTGCGCGTTTTGGCGCCCGCGCGCTTGTTGAGCAGCGGCGGAGGCTTTAGGACCGCGGGGACTGCAAGAGGGGCTGCGATTGTGCACATAGCTCCAGAGGAAAGCCCCCCGGGTCGGATGTGCTAGCGCAGGATACTTCTCCATAGAAGCTAGGTGTCGTCAGCGTTAGCGACGCTGCGTGCTGCTGGAGAGCGCCCCATGTGCGCGCGGGGGATGGCTGGGCACTGCGGCCACGGCGGGGGACGTCTGTGACACGCTCCAGACTTCACTGATGAAGACCCCTCCATCTCCTCGCACGCCTTCCTTCAGTTTTCTTTCTCAAGATTAGCCTAAGTTTGTCTCCCCCCACCCCCTCCTGGTCCTCACATCTGGCTGAGAGACCCTGCGCGCATTCTGAACAATTTAAAGGCTGCCAGCATGCGTCTCTGCTTCGGATTAAGCCGCCCTCATGAGAGCCCGAGATCCAGCCTTGCCTGACTGGGATAGTCTATTGCTCCATCATTTCATCTTTCGTTGATTTTCCTTTTTACGGGAAGACGGAGAGGTGTTTTCTGCCTGTTCAGCCAGTGTGATGGTTACTCTCGGTCTGTACTGACAGCGGGATACGATCGTTTTTGGGGCTTTTTGGGGTAAGCTCATTTCTCACTTTTTCCTTTTCCATTGTGTTAAAGTTCAATGAAGATAATTCGTCATGAGATCCGAAAAGGCAGTTGGTCCATTTCGTTTGGTTTAAGCAATCACGGGGATAGCACATCTCAGAGTCACCAACTCTGGCCAATATAAAAGACAGAATGGTGCTCCTTGAATAATTTGAGGCGATCTTGCTTCATCGGTCTGCAATGTTCGCTTCACTGCTTCATGCTGGTATCGTTTTTACACTGTCTTCTAGTTTTCTGCATGTATGTATTCTCGCGATTTCTAGCTGCGTTTCTGCAACGTGTATGCCACTGTAACTTGTAGGCTTTGTCTTAAATATCTTAATTTAGGCAGCAGTTTGTTTCTGAGATATTGGAATGAAACGGCTGTAACCCTGCAGTGATTTTTTATGACCGCTCGCTTGTGAGAGGAACAAATCATTAAGATAACGTGATACGCTTTAACGTGCGCATGAGGGTGTGCGTGTGTGTGTGTGTGTGTGTGTGTGTGTGTGAGAGAGAGAGAGAGAGAGAGAGAGAGAGAGAGGGAGGGAGCGGTGCTGTCTAAGTGAACAGTAGTCTCTCTGCATCATTTTCTGACAGCAGTCTGAATATGTGAGAATGAGCGGTACATTTATGACAGAAATGCCTTCGGCCGCCTGATCCTTGTGTCTGCTTCACATCGCACTGCAAACTTAACGCAGCACGCACACACTCACACACACACACACACACACACACGCACGCGCGCACAAACCGCCCCGTGGAAATACGCAGCTGAGCTTTTCTCCCATCGCCACGGCCGACGAGATTTCAACCAAATCTTCCGTGGCTCCTGTCAGCCTGCGTTGCAGCATTCGTGAGGGTAGCCTGCGTTATGGCAAGTCTGACACTTGCCAATGCATTTCAACGCATCACGCGCGTAGCTACAGTAAAACACCAGCAGAGAGCAGAGCAGAGAGAGACGCTTCTCTCTAAATGAGGTGTGCTCTGGCGATGAAGATGAGGAATTTATCTGTCAAACCAATATTGAAGCCCAAGTCCCATCTGAATAAGGAATTCCTCTATATTGCTCCAATAACCTTGATGGACGGAAGGCTGACAGCCGTTTAAGTTTGATTTCAGAGCCAGCTCATAGTGCAGTCTGTTGGGTTCCTAATACTTCGGTTGTTGTGATGAAGATTGAAGTAATGAGGAAGGAGGAGTAGTACTGCATGCTGGTGAAAGATTGCGCTCAGTATGAAGGAGAAACGCTTAGACCCGAGCCTGCCAACTTCCGAGCTGCTCATTAGAGTACACTTCAGCATATGTTCCCTGGAGACTTGATTTAAACCTGATTTAGTGCTGAACTTTAGTGTCCCAGTGGAAAATAGCTGCATATAGGCTAGACCTGAACTGTCTTTGTCTCAGCACAGTTCTGTAGTCTGAACCACGTTAGGCCCTTTTATCGCCTGCTGTTCTGGACGTGACAGACTGATTAAAGCCTTCCTTACCTTTGTAATGACACATTCTTCAAATACAAGTCCAATAACCTTCATTGGGTAAGAACAAATTAAAGAACATGCCTCAGAAATAACTCAGCACACCTCTGCCAATATCCATTTTTTCTACATGAAAGGCAAATCTGGAGGAATATGTGTCCGAGCTTAGATATGTACACAGGTTTTTCATGCACTCAAGCCTTTTTGAGCACTGATGAAAGTTGAACCAATCAGATTCTATTCTCAAGGAAGTTGAAGTAATTCTACACATCTTGTCAATTTAACTAGAACTAGCACTCGACCTCCTGTGATAAACAAGAATGCTTACAAGATGACAAAAAAAAACACTTCTTTAAAATAAAAACAAACAGTTCCTGTGACAAAACGAGCTTTTAACTTTCATTCTGCCATTTTACATTTAATCCCATTCGTTTATTGGTTCAATAGTGGCTAGATGGTATTTTTGCCCCATCAAGACTCAGTTGTGTGAAATGCCAAGGAAACCTCTGTCGCTAACATAAGATGGATTCTATTTCTTCAATTTTCACTGTCTTCAGTTATTATCAGTATGCATTTAAATCACAACAGATAATTTTTTGTTTTTATTAGTTTAAATCTCTATCCAGACTGCTGTCAAACGTAAGTTGCAGCAATTTTTGAGTTTATGACTCCCCACCTTTCATTAAATATACTTATGTTCACACACAACCTTATCTGCTGTAATTTCCCCCTGAGGTATTGCTTTTGTTTAAAGAAATGAAATGTAGCTATGATGCCCTTTTTTTCAAACCTTAATTAGATGCCACTCTACAATGTTCTCCAATTTATGGACTTAGCATCCCCAGGGCCTTAGACTTCCCTCGCTTATAGGCTATGTTAACTCATATTTATATCAATGTGATTTAGTGTCGTGTATAAATGTTATTACGTTCAATTTATGAGCATTTGGGGAATAAGAAGTCATAAAAATGCAAGAATTTAAATGCAACCAATCAGAGTGCTTAATGAGGTAATTTGCATATGGATCATTGAAAGAACGATCAGAGGAAAATCTGTTTTTTTTCATGCGAAATGGGTACTTAGACATAATAGAGGAGAAATGAAGTGAACAATGGAGAGGAAGAGAAAGAAGGTGTGTACAGCTCACATACTAGCCATGAAATTGTTTTGTTTCTGGAGGCAGTAGAATAGATAGAGAGTGTGAGTTTGTATGGGGATGAGAGAAAGAGAGAGAGAGAGAGAGAGAGAGAGAGAGAGAGAGAGAGAGAGAGCAAGACAAAGGGGCAAAAGGACAGCATAATGAAGAGAATATGCTCTGGGAGCGCAGAGCTTAAACAACAGCTTGTTCGCCTTTGGTGCTTAAGCTTGTCTGTTCCATCCCTCAGGCCACTGAAAGATACAGCACCCCAGTAACAGCCCACTGATCTCACAACAGGCCTGGGATTTTAACAAGCCAAAAAGTCCATTCTCCATTACTTTATGCTGGGGCTGCATGATAGAAACCCCTCAATATTCTGGCAAAATATCATTATTATGGTATAACAAAATGATATAGAATTTCCAACTATTCTGCTTTATGTAGGCTAGCAAAACAAGTTGTGTATTTTCGATGCCCACTGTAACAACAATTATATGTATCACAAAATAAAGTTGATGTAAATAAAGTTGACCAATCACGACCTTTTATGCATAATAGCGCATTTGGGTCCATGCTTTGTTAACAGAGTCTTGAGTTAATAGCTTTAATAGATGAAGGGAAAATATCTATTATTTCACTATCAACAAATACTGGCTCTGTATTATTCGGATGCCTTATATTGATTTTTAAAGGCTGCAGTACAGCAAAAGCTTCCATCACATTCAGTCATGAGTGCACATGCACGCAAAAAAAGCAATATAGAGGAGCAGAGAGCAGTTTTAAAAATTTATTTATTTTTGGACAAAGCTACACTGTACTAAGTACAGAAATATTAGAGAGTCTGGTCTATATCTTCAAACAAATTCATTAGAGGGACTGTAGTAATTGGTTCATGTGTGTATGTGTGTCTGTATCTTCTTGTGAATTCACTTTTGTGCATATGTGTGCATCTGTGTGCAAATGGAAATGAGGATTTGTGGCCCATTGTGGAATACCATGTGTTGAGACTAGAATGATTGGACCAATTGCTGTGGATTTGCAAGTGCAGCACTGCCACAGGGACTCTTTAGATGTCTCTTTATCTTCCCTGTTATATTTGTAATTATTGTGAAAGGCACTGATGGCACTGGCATTTCATGAAGAGCTTGGGCTTTGGGGACGAAGCCTGCTTGCTTGTGCGTCATACGGCAAGATGAGATGGAATTTGCACAGGAGCAAAGCAAAGCCAAGCCAAGTGCTCTCAATGCTTATATAGATTTGATTTTAAGCTCTCTATGGGAAGGAGGCAGATTTTTAGTAATCTTTCTTTGGCTGTATGAGGGGTACTTACTGCTGTGTTTAAGGTTTATATTTGCGCTCACAGATAACGATATAATTACTGCCATGAAGTGGTAAGAACTGATGTTCTGAAATGATAATTACATCTTAAAAACTCCTGAGAGATCGCAGGCTGCATTCAGTTGCTAGCAGTGTTTTATGATATCGCTGACTCACAGAAATAATTAAAGAATGTTTACTAGGTCTGACGTATACGCTCCTGGCTATAGGTTTCTGAAGCCGAACTGAAGTCTTGTGTGCTTTCATAACTCCTCTCTGTACATCAATGGTCTGTTAAATGTTCTGGAATTACAGTACACAGCTGCTTGATATGAAGCAGAGGTCTTATGGCCCCTGTCTACCACATGCCAGTTCCTTCGATACAGTCGAAATTCCGTTGCTGCCTTTTTTAACTCCTGTAGCCTGAACAAAGCTGGCTCATTCTTTGTCAAAAGGAAATGCAGAGAAAAGTCACAAGAATTTCTCTGTCTATTCAATTTTTAAATCAAATGGTGTTATAGAGAAAATACAAAGGCACAAAGCAGGTATACAGGATGATATCGGAAGCATGTGCTGATAGCAGATACTTATTTTTAAAGAGTCATTGTCATTGGACTGATGGTTTAGATTTGACCGATAATCCAAATTGATATTTGGCAATGCAGTTAATGTATTCCAGATGGGCACAACGTTTAGGCAACACTGCGCTATTGAGCTAAAATGTCTCCATTTTACCACATCACACAAATAAGTTTTATATTTCTTTGTAATGCTTACCCAGGTATTTAGTCCGAGTTTTTGTATGGAATGTCATCAGCTTTGAGCTTGACAGCCCAGAATTACTATTCTGGTGCATCTGTACCGTGTAGTCCATTTAAAAAAAAAAACAAAAGAGATTGCTGGTGAAATACCCAGTATACATGATGTTAGTGGAATGCACACTAAATTGTATTACTTACTTACTCAAGACTATTATGACATCCCATTTCAGTAGCTCAACTCATATTGAAAATCAGGATCTCCAAGGATAGAAGCTCAAGCCTGTCCACAGCTATTAC